TGTAGTAGAAGTGTATTTACAGTGACATTACTTTTAAAAAATAATCATATTTAATCATATTGTCTGCTCGCTTGCTTTCAAAAACATTACACCTCCTCCAGTGAAAACACCTGCTTCTTTCATTTCTCCTCCTTTACCCAGTTTACTACAAGGTCCGTATGAAAGAAACTCAGACCAAAATCTTATTTTTCCTTGGCTTACTGTACAAAGCCAGTACTGAAAATTATTCCTTAGGAATAATTTTCTACAAGGTGTTCACAACACTTTTTTTTTTTCAGTTTGAAATAAACTGCTGCTGGGCAGTGTTTAAACTGAAAGGAAAAGGGCACCTTACAATAACCTTGTTAATCATGATGTTTTTGGTGATTTCACCAGGCTTGATAAGGACACTCTTACATCTGGCTCCACATCTGGCTTGTGGAACACTTTTATTTTTCTGTTAAATAATAGAAAACTCTAGACAACTGATGAGAAGGTAGATGTCTGTATTAAATGAATTACTTTACACACATATGCAATTTTGACAGTGAAAAGAAAAAGACTAAAAATCAGATATCTGAAAAGGCAATGAATTCACAACTATTTATGGTTATATATATATATATATCCTAACAGAAGGAATACCTTACTTGATAGAGAGAAAAAAGCTTAAAAGGAGGCAAAAGAACTGACATACATTCTCAATTTTTGAGTAGTTTAAAATTAATTTCTTGCAGAGAATCATCCATTTGAGAATGGATAATACGCATTTCTTCTGTATGACCTGTGGAATGAAAGTACATTCACAAGCAAGGGCCATCATCACAGTTTTCTTGTGTTCCCAAAGTTCTGGGTTGCAGGATAGCCTCTCAGGGCCAGTTGTTCCATGGCCAAGTTGACTTGAAGTGACTGGGGGAATGTGAATGTGATACCCACTCTATGGGAAAAAAAAAAAAAAACACTGCTGAATGACATGATAATTGATTGCAGTGTGACAGGGATATATTTCTTCTCACAGAAACCTCCCTAAGCAAAAGCTTACTTTCTTTTGGATAGAATGCAAAATTATTTCTTTTCATGGAAAGCACAATTCTAGAAATTGTTACCTGACAAATCCTGTCCACAGACAGGTATTTTTTGGTTAGTTGAGTTGTCTGCAGTAGTATAATGTATTGCTCCTCTTCACTGGAATTGCTAAGGATGCAATTCAGGCAGTTCAGAAATGGAAGTTCCATAAATTCCTTTATAACTAAAAGAAACCTACCTCATTTGCAGGAAACTCCAACGTCAGAGATGCTACAGGAAGCAACGTCACAGCTTGCAATCATTCTCCAGGGTTTGACAGAGAGATCAGATTTTGTGCACAGTTAAAATATACACAACCTGTATACCTATCACTTTTTATTATGCTCTCCATGTTCCACTAATAATAGAAATATAGATGGAATGGCTATGTTTATTCCAAAAAAGTATTAAACATTTGTGCATTTTCATTATCTGTCAGCTATGTGGCATTGTAACAAGTGAGCATGAAGAAATCAGCAAATCTGTGCTCCTTTTGGGAACACACAGTCTTGCTAAATCAGGCCAAAGCTCTGTCTGCTCTGTATTCCAAAAAAGTATTAAACATTTGTGCATTATCATTATCTGTCAGCTATGTGGCATCGTAACAAGTGAGCATGAACAGCACAAATCAGCAAACCTGTGCTCCTTTTGGGAACACAAACACAGTCTTGCTAGATCAGGCCAAAGCTCTGTCTGCTCTCGTCTCCTATTTCCTACATAAGGTCCCAGCATGGGACTTCCTGGTCAAAGTTCTGCTGGCTCTGGAGAAGCTGGCCAGATGTGCGGTAATGCTAGCAATGGCAAAGCCTATTTCTGTTTCCTCACCTGCTCCTATCTAAAAGCACCACAGAGCAAGAGACACCTGCTTCTTGAACACCTTTAGGGAATAGTGAGCATAGGGTTATGTGATTAAAGGCTCATCTCCATAAACACAAGGGAACCCAGAGAAACAACCCTGATCTGGCTCCTGGAACAGCAACAGGACAGCAGTGAGCCCACTCTCCTGGCGTGAAACCCAGGATGAGTCAATTGGAGATGCTCTCTAGATCACCTTCCAGACTGAGGTGGTTACTGTCTGGGGTATAGGGCCTGAATATGTGATACAGGAGAAGAACAATCGGGCATTGTACAAAACAAGATGTCTGGGGTAAGGATCAAAGATCAGAGAAGGAAAGGATAAAGGTGACTGGGGGAGAAATCAGTGTAAGAAAATAAAGAGGTGGGGGATAAAAAGGGCTGATCACATTTAAACAGGTTGCTGGCCAGTATGCTTGTCTGTCCATGCTTTGCACTTGATGGCCACAGTCTGCCCGAATTGAAGTCCATTTCTAACTATTTTTCCTGGGTGAGAAGACTCTCTTCTGTATGGATGTGTGTTTACGGAGGTCTGAGGACCAGCAACTGGAGCGGGGCTGCAGGTCTCCAGAGCTCTGGTCCATGTGCCAGCAACTGGGAAGACTTGGGATCTAGGACCAGCCTCTGGTTAGACCACTTGTCTAAGGCCAGCTTCTGGCAGGATCCATATTGTAGACACGCATATGTATTTTCTACCAACAGATTTTTACCCTGATCAACCAGAGAAGGGAACAGGATGAGTGTGTTTATGTTAGTACTCTGTTGATCTGGCCAGCCGTGTATAAATGCACATATGTATGGTGTGAATGTGTGTACATTTGTGTGTATATATGTGTATGCAACTACTGGGAACACATGGTCCACCTTGCTACTCGGCAGCTCCTAACACTGGAAACTGCTCTGCTTGATGTAGTATGTCACTACACTCTCATTTCTCATCCCAGCAATCCCTTGGTGTTCTCAGGTCTCTTTTTCTACTCTTCCTTTCACAAGCAAGGCACATCAGTAGGAAAAGTGGCCACATAGGCGTGAGTAAACCATGAAGTATACCTCATCATTCTGATCGCTCCTTGTTTCCTTAGCACAAATTCCTGCTTCCTCTAAGACTGCTTTGCAGGCTTGCTGCTATTAAACTGGGGGCATTGAATTTTAACGAGATTAAGTGTACCCATCACAGGATGCGACATGTACCCGCACAGCGCTACCAACCCTGGTGCCCCAGGTCTTTCCCCTCCCTTCTCTGCCCCGGCGCCTTCC